TACTACTACTACTACTGCTGCTGCTACTACTACTACTTCGACTACTATGACTACGACTACGACTACGGCTACGACTACTTTTACTACGACTACTACTATCGTAGTACGACCACCACCAACACTACCACACTACTTCTTACGCACTACGCTACACTACCGATACTACCATACTAAACTACAGTTACCATTACTACTGTACCCGCTACTACTACTTTCTACTACGTCTTATACTACGATCACTACTACTACACTACTTACGCACTTGCACACTGTGCGTTGCCACCCTAGGTCGTCCCATACATGCTGCACCACAAAGGTCAGACATCGAGCATTTGAGAAGGCCGTTTCGGGGTCCACGGTGGCAACTCGTGTCCTTCCAGCATTTGAGAAGGCCGTTTCGGGGTCCACGGTGGCAACTCGTGTCCTTCCAAATAAGTGACTTGCCACTCTGCTACTGGTCGTTCGGGGCCTGGTTGGCTCGCCGCTCCGTCCACAGACCAGGATCAGAGGCGCCCGACCGAGCGAGCGATCCACGGGCCGCGCACCAATACGAATGCCACTGGCGGTCTCGCGCTCGCTGTCAGATAAGGACCGGGAGGCCAGCGTTCAAAGAAGGCTGGCAGGTTGCCTGTGTTTCCGAAATTGTACGAGCCAGGGAGCGAACCCTGGCGGGCGAGATGGGCCGGGGAGGGAGGACGCCCGTTGCTCGCGAAGCCTTGATGTCGGGATCGTGCCGGGGGTCCGAGGGGGCCACGGGGTGTCCTGAGGTCGCTAGAGTTCTTCGTGGAGCTCTTCGCCCACCTCCACAAGGCCGGAGAGCGTGTGCGAAGCAGCACCACAGGTCCCGGTGGCCAGGCCAGCCCTGGGCCCGGGATTGGCAGCCTCGCCATCGAGCCATGGGGGGGGGGGGGCGTGGACGCCGAGCCTGGGCCCGGGCGGGCCTGCCCCCTGGACTTGGCATCGCTCGGACGTGTGCATTTTTTGGGGGGGGGGCGAGGACCTTCGAGGGGCACATCGGACCATCCTGCGAGCAAATGCGCACACGGAGTCGAGACGGGCACGGGGAAGGGACGTCCCAGCGATGGCGAGCGGAGCGACACTGGCGCACGCCTTGCGCCACCCCCTGCAGAGGGGCAAGACACGAAAGCGGGGGTGGACCTGGCGTACAAGCAGACGCTGTCCAAGCACCACAACATTCGGCGACCAGGACGGGTGTGGATGCGCCGAGGTGTGGCTTTTGTGATCCTCGAAAAGGAAAAACGCAAGAAACATAAACTTGTTGCCCTCCGCGCGGGTTTCTTGGATCCGCGCTGAGCTCCCCTGGCGGCGCCTCCGGCGCCGCCCCTCCGCGCGCCAGGTGGAGGGGCCCAGCGCGGATCCAAGACATCGCGCGGAGCGCCAACAGTCTAGGTTTATGGCGACTTCTCCCCTTCTAGATCTGCGTCGCTGGGGCTTGGAAGGGGGCACCACGTCGCCCTCGTCGGGCCCCGCCTGGGCGCGGCGGTGGACTCCGTGGAGGCCCCCGCCAGGCCCCAGCGGCGCAGATCGCAATCCACACAGCAGGGTGGTAATATTCAGGGGTATACATAGGGGTAACATTTAGGTGTAATTTTCAGGGGTATATATAAGGGGTAATCTTTAAGGGTAATACTTAGGGGTAGTTTTTTATACATATGGGTAGTATTTAGGGGTATATATGTGTGTATATATATACATATATGGGAGCGAAGAGTGACATAAACATACAATCTCGGAGGTCTGCGCGGATCTCTCGGATCGGCGTTGGGGCCCCCTTCGCGGCGCCTCCGGCGCCGCCCCTGGCGCGCTCCGCGCGCCACGGCCTGTCAGCCCGCATAGTAAGGGTGGGCAACCTTCCCAGGGGTACCCGTTCATCCTCGCCCATCAGGCCTGTCCTGGGCTTCTTTTGCTGGCCTCGCCCCGCTTGAGAAGCTTCGGAATGGCCTTCCAAGGCCTTTGCATCCTCTCCGCCGCGCCCCGACGGGGCCCGACGAGGGCGACGTGGTGCACCTCCAAGCCCCAACGACGTAGATCGCAAACCACACAGCAAGGTGATAATATTGATGATCTATGTGAGGTACTTCCTATATCTTTCAGACAATGGATCAAATGTCTGAAACATTGTTGGTTTCTATGTTTGATACCACTTGCGGACTGCACCCTTCGGAGTCGCCGAAGCGTCCTGCAGCGCACCGCCTTCTCGGCCGCGGTGAAGAAGCTACCCAGCCCCGGGGTCGGGCGGCCCGCGTCGCACGGCCGCGTAAACCAAGAGCGGGTGGGGGGGGGAGGGGGAGGAGGGCCGACGCTACTAGCCCTGTCTTCGAGGAGGAGGCTCTGAGGAGCAGGGGGAGGAGGAGCAGGAGGAGGAGGAGGAGGAGAAGCAGGAGGAGGAGGAGGTATACCAGAATCGAGCAGGAGGAGGGGGAGGAGGAGGAGGAGGAGGAGGAGGAGGAGGTATACCAGAATCGAGCCTTCTCTTGGACGGCGCGCCGCTGGCCCCCTCGCTTCGGCCTCCCGTGGCCGCCGGGGCCCGCTGAGGGGCCGTCTCGAGAGCGAGTGCGGGAGGACGCCTCGGCAAGGTGGGGAGGCCGATCGCCCGCCGCGCCCAGGGCCGTGCGGGTTTTGCACTCGGAGGCTTCTCGGCGAGCGGCGGCACGTGATCCCAGGCTCTGGGCCCACCAGCCACCCCCCCCAGATGGAGGATTGTTCGGTCCCAGGGCTCCCACGACCCCCCCCCCCTGATGGGATGGGGGGGGGACGACGACGACGACGACGACGACGACGACGACGACGACGACGGCAACGACGGCGACGACGGCGACGACGGCGACAAGGACGATGACGGCGACAAGGACGACGGCGACGGCGACGACGACGGCGACGACGACGGCGGCGGCGGTGGCGAAGGCGGCAGGAGCCCTCCGACGACGGCGGCGGCGGCGACGACGACCTCTAGAGCTCTCCTGCAGCACCACAGCACCACGCCACACACGCCGCACCCGCAGCACCACACCACACCCTCGGGGGGGGACCATCGCGCGGGGGGGGGTCCCGATTGCATCGGCATGAGGGGGGGGCCCAGACCCTGGACCAGACATCGCCGATCCCATGTCGATGTCCCAACGCCCCCATGAGCCCGGCCGCTGCCCCTGATCTGCGCCGATCAACGGTTCAGGCAACTCGATGTGCAGCGAGGAATGGCTTTGAACCCTGCCCCCAAGCAGCCGCGAGGCGTCATTGCTTGCCTATGCGCCCACCACAGAATGTTCTAATAAACTTTTGTGGTTGTGGTTTGCACGGAATGTCCTCAGGGTATTTCTGGCTGAGACTGTTTTGTTGCTTCGTTCAACGGGTTAATGTTCTAAGAACGCTTCTTCTTGCCACTAGAGGAGTAGAGCAGGCTGGGGTCCTAAGAACATTTCGTTGTAGGCCGATGTGAAAATGCCGAAACGGGCGGCCCCTGCTCCATACCCCCCGGACAGTGGGGGTAGAGTTCGAATGTCGCCACCTACGGGGGCGTCTTCCTCCCTCCTCCTCCCTCCTCCTCCTCCTCCTCCTCCTCCTCTTCCTCCTCCTCCTCCTCTTCCTCCTCCTCCTGCTCCTCCTCCTCCTCCTCCTCTCCTCCTCCTCCCCTCCTCTCCTCCTCCTCCTCCTTCCTTCCTCCTCCTCCTCCTCCTCCTCCTCCTCCTCCTCCTCCTCCCTCTTCCTCCTCCTCCTCCTCCTGCTTCTCCTCCTCCCTTCTCCCTCTTCTTCCTCCTCCTCCCTCCTCCCTCCTCCTCCTTCCCGTTGCTGGGCCTCGGCCCCGCCCGGTCCGCGGGGGACGTGGCCACCCGACCCCGGGCCCCGCCGCCAGCACCTGCTCGAGCGTCTGCGAGGCGACGGCGCCTCGGCGGAGGACGTCTCGCGGGACCTGGCCGCCTTCGTCGCGCTCGGCCACGCCATCGCGCGGTGCTGCTCGCAGGTCAACGAGGCCGAGGGCCTGGGGAGAGCGCCGCCCCCCGTCCTCCCCCCTCCGCTCCGCCCTCCCCCATCCCTCCCCGCCTCCAATCTCCCGTCGGCCCTCCTCGGCCTCGTCGTCTCCCCTTCCCGTCCTCCTCCTCCCCCGTCTTCTTCTCTCCCCCACTCCCTCCTCTCCCGTCCTCTTCCTCTCCTCTCCCCCACTCCCTCCTCCCCGTCCTCTCCCGTCATCTCCTCTCCCCGATCCTTATGTTCCCGAGAGTTGGGGCTGTCTTGTTTTGATATCGGAGCCGAGAGAGGAGACTGACAGCCCACCCCGTTCTGACCACGGCCTCCGACTTGCCCCCCAAGAAATGAGCACGGTGTTCAGTCTCGCAGGGCTAGTCTTCTGGATCTGGGGCCGTCAGCATTCGACTCGGGTGAATCACTCCCCGAGGATGAGGCGGGGATGAGAAGGCAGTCCCCAGATGGAGGGGAGGATGGAATAGGAGGATGAGGAAGAGGCGGAGGAGGAGGAGGAGGAGGAGGAGGAGGAGGAGGAGGGGGAGGAGGAGGAGGAGGGGTAGTAGGATGGAGGAGCTCGTAGGAGGAGGAGGGACGACGAGGAGGATAATAGAGGAGGAGACGATGCAGCTAGGTGGTCGGCGTTTAGAGAAGAGGAGGATGAATAGTAGAAGGAGGGAGGAGCGAGAAAAGAGGAGGGAGGCGGAGTAGGAGGAGGAGAAGGCGGAGGATGAGGAGGAGGAGGAGGAGGAGGAGGAGGAGGAGGAGGAGGAGGAGGAGGAGGAGGTAGGAGGATGGGGGCGAGAAGGAAGAGGCCCGGGAGCATGACGGAGCATGCGAGAGGAGAGGAGGAGGAGGAGGAGGAGGAGGAGGAGGAGGGGAGGAGGAAAAAACAAAAGGAGGATGAGGAGAAGGATGTGAGCAGCCAGAGGAGATGAGAGGAGGGAGGAGGAGGAGGAGGAGGAGGAGGAGGAGGAGGAGGGAGGAGGGAGGAGTAGAGGAGAGGAGGAGGAGGAGGAGGAGGAGGAGGAGGAAGGGGAGGAGGAAAAGGAGAAGGAGGAGGAGGAGAAGGAGAAGGAGAAGGAGAAGGAGAGGAGGAGGAGGAGGAGGAGGAGGAGGAGGAGGAGGAGGAGGAGGAGGAGGAGGAGGAGGAGGAGGAGGAGAGGAGGAGGAGGAGGAGGAGGAGGGAGGAGGAGGAGGAGGAGGAGGAGGAGGAGGAGGAGAGGAGGAGGAGGGGAGGAGGAGGAGGAGGAGGAGGAGGAGGAGGAGGAGGAGGAGGAGGAGGAGGAGGGGAGGAGGAGGAGGCAGTGGGGAGGAAGGGCGGGGAGGGGGCAGGCAGCATGGGAGCCAGGGAGACGCCCCGAGACCCCGCCCCGGGCCAAGGACCTGAAGGCCCTGCAGGTCCGGGAGCGGGAGGCCCTCCGGGTGCGGTGAGCCGCCGGCCCCGCTTTCTGGCCTCGGAGGCGCCCTGGCCGCGCGCCGGGGGCGTCGGCAGCGCGCTCGGCGCACCCGGCGTGTTGGGGTCGATCCCCCTCGCGCTGCCCCGCCTGCGCCTCCCCGTCCGCGCCCCGGCGGCCCTCTCGGGCCCCGCGCGGCCGCGTCCCCCGCGAGGCTCCTATCAGCTCGGAAGGCGCGCCCGAGCAACAAAAGAATTAAAAAAGGGAGGGGGATCAGTGCAAGCGGGGGTCAGGCAGAGCCCAGGATCTTGCAGCATCCTGCAGGGCCCGGGGCGCACTGGCCTGGGCTTGGGTGTGCAGGGTCCTGCAGCAGCTGGCAGGATCCTGCAGAACCTGACTGACCCGGGTTTGGATGGACCTGGGTCAGCAGATCCCCGACCCTTCTCGGGTGCTGCGCGCTGGGGGGAGGCGATAAAACGGGTGGGCCTATAGAGCGATGAGTTTCTCTGGTGTCAAGCCACCTCCTGTCTCGACTACACATGGTGCTGCGGCCCCCGCCTCGTCTCTCGGCACGTCGGCTGGCCCCGATGGCCCCCCCCCTTGTTCCGCGCACGTGCCTCGGGCCAGGGTGCGTGCACCCCCTCTTCCCGGCCCCCCTCTTTGGGCGCACTGTCGTCGGGGGTGGCAAAGAGGGGGGTGATGACTAGGGGTGGGTGGATATCATGGCGGGGGCCATGATATTTCCCCAGATTTCAGGGCGCCTCTTCCTGTTTCATTACGTGCCTGCACATCATGGCCGCACACATGTCGCCGGCCATGATTTGCACCCCCCACTCTTGGACACCCCCTTCTTGGCCGCTCCCGATGTCGGACAGAAGGTCATCGCCCACCAAACCAACCCAACCCAGCCCGAGGGCCCCGATCTGCCCTCCATTTCCAGTGGGGGCGGGGGCGGGGAGCATTGGAAAGCTCAATGTGGAGCCCGTACCCCGCCCAACCCGAAAGCTGGGTCTTCGGGTTGGGTCGGGGCGGTCTGGCAGGCAGTCAACAGGCGGGTCGTGGAGGAAGGTGTTCAGCGAGCGGCGATAGCGCTCCCGCGGGGGGGGGGAGGGCGGAGCCTGCAGCTCCCCCTGCAGCGCGGCGACCGCCTGGTGCAGCCTCCACCGCGCGTCCTGGGCCAGCGAGAGCCGGGCAGGGGAGGAGGAGGAGGAGGAGGAGGAGGAGGAGGAGGAGGAGGAGGAGGAGGAGGAGGAGGAGGAGGGGGAGGAGGGGGAGGAGGAGGAGGAGGAGGAGGAGGAGGAGGAGGAGGAGGAGGAGGAGGAGGAGGAGAGGAGGAGGAAGCCTCGGTGAGCCTCGGGCCTCGGGACGTTGGCCAGCAGCCGCGCCTCTCGCCGAGAGCGCTCCGGGGGTGCCCGCCGGCTCGCCCGGGACGGCCGTCGGAGACCCGAGTCATCGCCCGATCGATCGCCAGACCTCGCTGACTCGACTCCCAGTCCCACTCCTCCTCGCCTGCGGCTCGTCTCCCCCCTCTCCTCCTCCTCTCCTCCTCTCCTCTCTCTCCCTCTCCTCCTCTCCTCTCCTCCACTATCCTCCTCTCCTCCTCTCCTCCTCCTCTCCTCCTCCTCTCCTCCTCCGCCACAACAGTCACCATCGCCACCATCAGCATCAGCATCATCACCATCACCATCACCATCACCATCATCTCCATCACCACTGCCATCGCCATCGCCATCGCCATCGCCATCGACGAAGAAACTTCAGACGACGGGAATCAGGGAAGTGGGGTGCGACATCTGCTGCATGCAGCTGGGTCCGACCCCCGAGGCTGGTTTGCCCGAGGCCCCCCTTTTCAGGAAAACAAGCCAGAGAGCAACCACTCGCGTGCCGTTTAGTCTCGACCGCCGATTGCGCATCCTGTGGGGAAATCCACGGGAGGAGCACAACGCAACCCATGTGTGGCGGAATCCGCCAGTGGCGCAACCCAAGGACCGCGCAACCCGTGCCGCGCCACATGGGAGGCAGGCACCCCCGGCAGGTTGTGAAGGGTTGCGCTCGATTGGTGCTTGCCGCTTGGGCTGGCGGTGGTACGCAGGCGCCGAGTTGTCGTGTGGTTTGCATGAGGGCAGCTACCTGGCAGGGCTGCACTCGGAATGCGGTGCCGTGCGCACATGCGGTGTCCCTGGCAGCTTTCATCAAGGGTGTTCTGTCAGTCTTCGCATGGGGGGAGGATCACGAGGTTGGAGGAGCGAGGTGAGATTGGGAGGAGGTGGGAAAGGGGGTCGGAGAAGGATGTCGAGGTGGCAGCAGCGAGGAAGGAGGACGGGTGAGGCAGGAGGGTGTGGGGGCAGAGGTGTGGAAGCAGGGGGGAGTGAAAGAAGGGAGCCAGGAGCAGCAGATGGAGAGTCGGGGAAGCGTAACACATGATGTTCCAACCTACTTTAGCTTTGATCACGATAATGTATTTCGAGCACCGAAAGAGTACCGAAACTCTAGGGTTTCCACGTGTCGGGCCCTGGGGGACACTCGTCCGACACTGTTTCGACACTGTTTCGACACTTTCCTGGGTACTCGAACTTATTTCTGGGATGTTGTCCTTAAGTGTGATGGGAGCAACATAAGCCAGGATCAGCAGAGGGAGTGTCGGGGGAGCGTAAGACTCGCGTTGGCCGGAGCTCGGGTTCGCCGACGCTTTTTGACGGGCATTTCCTGCACTGTGACGCTCCATTCTTCGTGGGATGTCTGCAGCGGTAGCCCGCGTCAAATTTTAGAGGTCGGGTCTCCGCATGTTCCTGACGGCCCCGCCGGGCCAACCCGAGCCCCCCGAACCCGAGTCTTACGCCTCCCCGGAAGTGGGGGCATGTTGGAGGTGCAGGCTGAGGAGGAGGAGGAGGAATCTGTCGTTCCTCCGCACGCTGTCGCGGCGGTGCGCGGCTCGGAGCGGTACGCAGCACCGCGCAGCTGCGGATAAGAGTGGGGGGGCGGCGGGGTCGTCGCCGGTCTGCGAGGCTCTGAAGAAGCGCGCCGCTGGCGCCGACCTTTCAACACGTTGCACCACGAACCCGCCGCAGACACCGAATTTTCGTTCAAACGAAATCGTGGGGTCACGGGCGGGTCGCAACAGAGCAACATAGCAACATTAATAATTCGTATTGTGGATCCCTTTTCGGCCACGCGCCCAGGGACAGTGAATGACCGATCGGCCCTTTCACTCTGATATTAGACGGCGCGGAAAAGAGGGACAGGGGGCATGCAGGCGAGGGACCCGCGCGATTGCCGAAGGACTGCCCATTGATTGCCGTGTCCGAGGAGTTCGAGACCATGACAGGCCTTCTGCGCCAGCGCTTGCATCCATGCCATTGGCCACCCACGCACTGCACTGCTTGGTGGACGGGCGCGCAGTGGTCGCACAGCTGGAGGCGTTGCGTCGCCAGCCCTTGCAAAGTCATAGCTCATCGCCCACATCGGTGGATTGCCCAACTCTGGCAGAAACATGCATGAGGATAACGGTACGGGGCGAATGCTGCGCTGGGTGGTCAGCTGTCACGATGAGTAAGGTTTTTCTGGGGGGAAGAAGGCCCTCTCGGGCCACCTCGGGCCAGGGTTAAGTCGGGTATGTCCTTCTACAGGGGGGACTATTCGAAAATAGTAATCAAATTATAGTGGGACGAGTATTCGATTCGTGTTTGACTCTGTTTGGATATTTGTTCGGATATGTTTTATTGTCCTTTCAACACCCGCATGTAGGAGGACATGCCCGATAAGGCCAGGGCCGCCTTGGGCGAAGGTTGTGGACGATGATCAGTGAAGAGGAAGCATGTTTCCGAATAATTTCCAGATGCCTAAACTACGTTTTAAACATATTTTGAACGTGTAAACAACATGCTTTAAACATTGTTGGAACAGCATTCAAACATTCAGAACTCATTTTTAACTCAATGATGGATTTTCTAGGGTGTCCACTGTCATTGCATCCACAAGGCCAGGACCGCTCCTGGCAACCCTCCCGCTCGATCGGGAGGGCTCTCCGTGCACACACCCGCATGCAGCTCCGCCGTGCGGCAGCGCA